TACATACATACATACATGTATATATATCCAACGCTTTTAATCATCGATTAACACCTTCAATGTTCGCAGCAAGATGCATGATCTTCTATAAGTCTGTTGTATAGAGTGCCATCTCTTCTGCCATCATCTGCTGGGATAGCAGCACCAAAGCAAGTGACCTTAAAAAGATCAACAAGCTCTTAAAGAAGGCTGGCTCAGTTCTGGGGATTCCTCCATAACCTTTGGAGATGACTGTACAATGAAATATTCTTCATAAAATCAAGAACATTATAGACATTCCTCAGCATCCTCTTCATCAGACTGTCATACAACAACGTAGTGTTTTCAGTTAGAGGCTTCTTCAGAGCTGCTTCAAGACAGACCGCTACAAGAGATCCTTCCTGCCCACAGCCATCAGCATCTATAACAACTCTTTAATGAAACCAGGATGATGAATTACAACATTTAATTTCTCTCTGGGATTAATAGTGTTTTTGAATTGAATTGATTTAAATAAGCAGACTTCACAGACTTCTTAGCTCGAGGTGATCTTTGGTGGATTTCCCTGAAGGGGAAGACTCGACTGCTATCTCTGTCTCAGACTGGAAATAAAACGGAGGTAAAAAAAAAAAAAGAGTTAATAAGATTATAATTTTAAATTTAAAAAAGTTAATTGGATAATAATAATCAAATTAAAGCTGCAAGCAGCATTAAAGGCCCTCGCAGCAAAGTGACGTTCTGGCCATACCGCAACCGCGGGAGCTCCAGCCACTCCACTCAATCACCATCACGAACGCTCTCTTGCCAATCCCGCACGCGTTCACCACGAGGCGCATTTCCTGAATCTTTGACATCGCCTTCTGTCCATGTCAGTACTAGTCCAGCTCCATGTCTTGCAAGTATACGTGAAATCCGACCTTCCAGACAGGAGTTACTGTGACTTCCTGTTTTGTTGCGAATGTTTGACGAGCACTTCCTTTATGCTTTTCAACATGTCGTGTGGTAATCAGCAGTTACAGTTTCAGTCATATCTTACTCAGGTCTAAGCTGGAAGAGTCACCCAATAATTTAGTTTCTTCTCCGAGTGGGTGGGGCTTAAGTGATGTCATGAATCAAAAATACTAATGTGTCTCGAAGTACTCACTGATGAAGCAAAAAAAAATCAGGTACAGATAAGATGATGCATCACTGAGATATAACTGTTGGAATAATCTAGGGGGCGCACTGGAGTCGAATGTTAAAGAACATTACCAATGTGTACACAAGTGCTCACTAATTACGCCAAAAAAATCTGGTTCAGATCTGATGATGTATCACTGAGATATAAGTTTTAGAATAAGCTAGGGGGCACACTCAAGTCAAATGTTAAAAAAGAATAACAGTGTATATATAAGTGCTAAGAGCCAAATTTGAAGGCAATCCTTCCAAATCCCTAGGATGATTTCGTTAAAACTCGCAATTAGAAACGCCCCAAAATGACTCTTGCACCCAAAATTGCCGACTTCATGTTGAGTGTGGACCATACCTCCAAGAGACTTTTTCATAGGTCCTGAGAAGATACAGATGTTCAGAGTTTCTGAATTATCGGTCTTAAATTCGCTTGGGGCTTAAGTTTTAAGATATTCTAGGGGGCGCTGTAGAGGCTATTGGCCATTGGGGCTATGGATTCCTGTTCAAGGGGTGGGTAATGATTGATCAAACTGATTTTGGTGCACCTTGGCTCAAATCTATGCAATTTAGAGCCAAACGTATGGTGACAGCGTTACGTCTTACTTTGCCACTCCGTGCCGCCCACATGCTCCACCCAAAACTGTCAGTGTTGGAAAACAAGTTACACCAACATGTCTTCGGTCACTGGACACACTACCATGCTGATTAGATCACAGGGGTCAGATAGAGACCGTTCAACGTAAAACTTTACACTTCCTGTTCTCAGGGGGCGTGGCTTAAGTGATGTCATGATTTGACCATTTAGTCTTGCAGGGGACCAGATGTGGATCAATCACTGAAGATTTGACGTCTCAGACAGTTTTCTTGTAGGAGCTCTTAGCGTTTTGTTTTTCATGGTAAATGGACTGTACTTATATAGCGCCTTTCTATCTTATTTCAAAGCATTTTACACTACAATATGTATCCTCATTTACCCATTCATACAGCACTCTACTAGATCTCTACAAAGCTAATTGAACAAATCATTCTAAAGAGAATAATCAGTGCTTTTAGATCACATTCATACACTGATGGGACACATCAGAGGCTATGAAGGTTTCGGTGTCTTGCCCAGGGACACTTTGACATGTTACTGCTGGTGGATTCGAACCCCCAACTCTTGCATTGGAGGACGACTGCTCTAACCACTCAGCCACAGCCGCCCCTGATGGTGAGATGTCCAACTTTGAGCACTGACCCCGCCCATTCAGCATGTTCCGAAACGCACCGTTTAGATAACTTTTCGGCCTCCATGCCTTTTGACCAACATGGCCAAGTTTGAAACCGATTGAGCAAAACCCCTAGGAGGAGTTTGTTCAAATGCGAAGGCTGTAAACCGCCAAAAAGGTGTGAAATTTGGGATGGCGTTCCAAAATGGCCACCTTCCTGTTTATCGTACAATTGTTGGTGCCAAAGAGTTTTCTGTGCATCTTGGGGGATTGGACAAGTGTACCAAATTTCATGCTTCTACGACAAACTAAGGTTAATGCGGAGGGTATTTTGAAAATTTCCAGGTGGCGCTCTTAAGCCATTTCTTTTGCGATTTTTGTGACACCCTTAAAATACGTAATTCTTCAGAATGCGTCCGCCAAATTTGGTGAGTTTTGGGATATGTTAATGCCCTCAAAAGGCCAATTCATTGGACGGAAAAATTGCTCGGGTCTAATGAACAGAGCATTTACAATAGGCCTTCGCAGCGCTTTGCTGCTCTGGCCTAACTGAGCATTACAAAAGGCCTTCACAGCGCTTCGCTGCTCTGGCTTAATAACAATACCTCCTCTTGAATGGTCATAATTTCTGTTATGAGGTGTTTGAATCTCTCGTTCATCATTATCAGGGCAGGGCTTTAATCTGGAGTCCAGGGCTTGTTGACAATATCAGTTTTATCCATCCATCCATTATCTTTACCCGCTTATTCCATTTTGGGTCACGGGGGTCGCTGGTGCCCATGTCCAGCAATCACTGTGCGAGGGGCGGGGTACACCCTGGACAGGTCGCAAGTCCATCACAGGGCCACATAGAGACAAACAACCATTCACTCTCTAATTCACACCTAGGGACAATTTAGAGTTACCAATCAGCCTAACATGCATGTTTTTGGTCTGTGGGAGGAAACCGGAGCACACGGAGAAAACCCACGCATGCACGGAGAGAACATGCAAACTCCACCCAGAAAGGCCCCTGGACCGGGGTTTGAACCAAGGACCGGCTCGCTGGGAGGCAGCAGCTCTACCAGTTGCGCCACCATGCTGCAATATCAGTTTTAGCTTTTTCATAATGTGCTGGTACAACTTTTTGGCTGAAGTGTTGACGTGATGGATGTTGTAGCGGGGCTCAATAACTTTAAATCTGGCGCATCAACAACAGAATACGGACATGGATCTAGAGCTTTAAAAACTTCTACTGCTTGTGTTATTGCTTTGGACCGATCTGAATTACCTGATAAAGGCTGTTTAAATGCTGCTGTTATCAGTGTTTGCACCAACCAAGCTGCTATTCTGTAGAAGACGTTCACGTTCAGATGATGTTGTTTCTTGCATTAACAAGTTAGAAGTGTTGCCTGTGGCAGATCCAATCTTAGTGAAACAACATCGACACACAGCTTTGGATTTGCGCTTATCTTTTACCAAGAAAGCCATAATGTTCCCAAACAGGAGACCACAACAGTATGACTCAACTTGCCTGCTAAGCTGCTAATGCTACGTGTGCTGTTAGATAATAGCGCCGTGCTGAAACACGCTTAGGAACTTTAATTCCGCAGCACATAATTTCTCGTTAATAAAATTTAATGACTGAAAAAATATCCGAAACGGTACGCACGTGGACTGAACTGAACATGCCGTACCGAAATGGTTCAATACACCCACATGTACCGTTAAACCCCTAAAAAGTACCCTCACACAAAATAAGTGGGTACCCATTTTGAAGTCGTATAGCTATTAAAATATGCCATTTAATTAATTTATTGTTTTAAAGTTGGCCCTTTTTTTGACCAACACATTTTAAACTTTTATTTTTTTTTACTGTAAATATCACTTAAAAGTCTACATTAACTGTGTTTCTCCTACTGCATTCCTTGGATAGATGAGTGAGTGAGGTGAGGAGTGTTACCTTCTGATATTGCACAGTATTACATGAAATTTTATCAGAACAACATTTTAAAGGTTTCTTTTCTCATTTGTTCATCGTCAGGTTGTCAGCACATCCATATCGCCTCCCCATTTGTAACAGCAGTGAAAGCAACACCACCCACCTGCAGGGGGACTTCTCCTCCTCAGCTGAGTTCTTTGTCTGTGTCGGTGTATTTGGGTTTCTTTATTGCACCACCACCCTGATTCTCTACTTGGGGTTCCAGACTGTCTACCGTCAGACCAGCCGCGGACCCATCACAGTAAGTATACATTCTTTGCTCAGCCATGAACTTTCTCTACATTTACAGTCTCTTCTATACTGAAGCTGGCTTTATAGTCAATGAGAGAAAGGCCAACCTTGTGTCACGCTGACGTGGCTGTGTGACAAATATTGCATAGGTTGCTTTTCTTAGCACCTGTTACACCCTTTCTTGTGCATTAATTAACTGTGATGTACATCTTTGACATTCAAAAAGTGAAACTTGTATATTATATCCATTCATTACACACAGACTGATATATTTCCATCCATCCATCCATTATCTTCCGCTTGTTCTAAAGTTGAGTCGCGGGGGCAGCTGCTTGAGCAAGGAGTCCTAGACATCTCTTTCCACATCCACCTCTTCTAGCTCTTCTGGGGGGACCAGATTGAGAAGGTTCGAGAAATATTCCTTCCACCTCCTAATGGCATCACTGGTTGCGGTAAACAGCACTCCACTTTCACTGACTACAATGTTAGTAAAGCGCTGTTTCCCATCCTCAGCCGCCTGATGGTTTGCCAGAATCTCCTCGGAGCTGACTGAGAGTTGTTATCCATGGTCCTACTGAACTCCTCCCACATCTGAGGTTTTGCCTCAGCAACAGCCAAGGCTGCGGACCGCTTGGCCCTCCGGTACTCTTCAGCTGCATCCAGAGTCCCAACAGCCAACAAGGACAGATCCTCCTTCAGCTTGACAGCCTCCCTAACCCAGGGTGTCCACCACCAAGTTCGAGTATGGTCACCGCAAGAAGCACCGACAACCTTGCGGCCACAGCTCAAGGCAGCCACTTCAACAATTGAGTCACGGAATATGGCCCAATTGGACTCAATATTCCCCACCTCAGCTGGCATGTGGTTAAAACTCTCCCAGAGGTGTGAATTGAAGATTTTTCTGATGGGTTCTTCTGCCAGGCATTCCCAACAAACACTCACTACACGTTTGGGTCTACCGGGTTTGTCCGGCATCCTCCCTACCTTCTGATCCAACTCACTACCAGGCGGTGATCAGTTGACAGGTCAGCAACTCTCTTCACCCGAGTGTCCTAAACAAATGGCTGCAAATCAAATGACACGACTACAAAGTCAATCATCGATCTACGACCTAAGACGTCCTGGTGACAAGGGCACTTATGAACACACTTATGTTCGAACATGGTGTTCGTGATGGACAAATGTTGGTTATGTACTGTAACCCCAGATTCTATGAGTATAGGCGTAGCCCTTTGAAGAGCTGTCGCTTAATGGGTTTATCCCGTCATGCGAAGCATTGCACTGAAAAATTTAGTCCACGCCCACCTGCTGTGTGGGCCCACCCGGTCCATATAAATCACGTTAAGAGCGGGTAATCGGCTCCCAAATAGCTTTTTCTTCAGCCATTTAAGAGCCAGTGAGGCCCGACGCTTAAAGGGCTACGCCTATACTCATAAAATCTGGGTTACAGTACGTAACCAACGTCCTATTTCGTATAGGCTTCGCCCTTTAAGAGCTGTCGCTTAGTGGGTTAAGGGCAAAGCAGATGTGGTCCTCGCCTCACTGGGTCCATTCGAACACCATTCGAAGTGACAGCTTGCCCAAAAAACGTCTCGTCACTCAGCTCTCCATGTACGTAATTATGCGTACCATGCACAGACACATGCTGTGTAGTTATGCGTTCTGAATGCATGAACACCCCGGAAACTTTCAGCGGGGAAAGGAAGATGCTGAAAAGGGTCTGAACAATATGAACAGATTAATAATAACAAGTGAGCTGATTATTAATGAAATGAACTGATTGGTAACAATAGTCATGAACTGATTAATGACAATAGAACCAAAATAACAGTCACAACATGTGGCTGATAACAACATCTCACACTAAAAACGGGGTTCCCTGAAACAACAATATTCATTCTGTTAAAACACTAAGGACAGAATGTGTCATGGAACGAGCCGTCACATCACGTAGATAGAAGCAAATAAATAAGCAGGGCGTTGTCCACTCGGCCGCAGTGCAAATATCCTGCATTGTCATACCATTATGCAGAGCAGTCGAAGATGCGAAACCTCTGGTCGAGTGCGCCCTGAGGTTATCAGGAAGCTCTAAATCTGATACTCTGTAGGCTTCAGAAATGGCCCCACACAGCCAGTGTGACAGGCACTGGGTGGATAACAGGCGACCTGCAGATGCATCTCTATAATGCACAAACAAATGTTGAGTTTGATGCATTGCAGCTGTGCGCGCTATGTAACACGTCAACGCCCGCACAGGACAGAGCAGATGGAAAGATGTTTCTTCTTCTGATTTGTGGGGGGGTGGGGGGAATGATATCACTTTTGATTTAAAAGAGCTCATGATGTTTTAGGTATAAAGCTGGATTTGGTCTTAGATCAGCTGAGCTGCCATCAGCCTGAATTCTAAGACATGTCGGAGCGACAGAGAGGGCAGATAAATCACTCACCCTCTTAGCGGATGTTAAAGCCAGCAGCAGGGCTGTTATAAGAGACAAAAATTTAATTGGAACCTGATTCAGTGGCTCAAGTGGAGCTTGATCAGGGCCCGCAGGACCAGCGTTAAATCCCACTTTGGAGCAAGTGGGCGTGAAAACAGGCCTGCGTCTCTGTACACCTTTTTAAAAAACACTTCATCTGCGGATGATAAAAAGCTGTTCTGCCCCCAAAACCTTCGTGACAAGAAGAGATGGCTGCAGTGTACGTTTTAATTGTGCTGAACACCAGATTTCTGTCCATCAGCTGCTGCAGAAAGGACAGCATGCCACCTAGTGGACATGAAGTGGCCTCTACACCTTTCTCCGTACACCAGCGCTAAAAAGCTGTCCACTTTGATGTGTACAGCTCTGTGGTGGATGCCACACGTGAATCCTGGATTGTGCGCAATACATCTTATGAGAGACCCTAAGCGGATCTGCTCAGCGGCCAGATCCACAGGTGCTGGCCTATTTCTGGGTAACTCCTGATCGCTCCTCCCATCTGGAGGAGAGCGTCCTCCCTCCACTGCAGTTTCCACGGGCTCCCCAATAACAGGTGTCATAGAACCGGGAACCACGGTGCATTCACGTGCTCGGGAGCCACCAGGAGAACTGTCAATCCCTCCTCCTGAACTCGGTTCAGAAACCGTAATATCAGAGGAGGTGGGGGGAACACATAAAGAAGTGTTTTGGGCCATGGGCTGTGAGCAAACACGTCCACCCCCAGCGACGGTTCGTCTCGCGGGCTCAGTGTAAACCATAGTTGACACTGAACGTTTTTTCATGTCGCAAAACAGGTCCACGGCCGCTTGCCAAATTTCTGCCACGTCTAGGCCATCAGACCAAAGTGGAGGGTCCACTCCCCATGACGCGGACCGCCCCTAGACATCACATCCGCCCCTTGTTCAGAACACCGGGGATGTAAACTGCTCTGATGGAGAGCAGATTTTCGTGTGCCCAACACAGTAGTTTTCTCGCAATGTGTAACATTTGGGCTGAGCGCACCCCCCCCTGCCAGTTTATGTAAGCAGCAGTAACCTTGTTATCTGTGTGAATCAAAACGTGTTGATTCTGCAGCACAGGAGCAAAGTGTTGAATCACGTTCAGAACTGTGCAACACTCCAGAACATTTATATGAGCTGTTGTGTGATGGGGCCACAGCGCCCCTACAGCTCGATATAGGCATGTCACCCCCTAAACTGACAGGGATGCGTCTGTGAAGACTGACACGTGTGACGTAGGCCTGCTGACGGGGACTCCCTCCGACAGAACCAGGGGGGTTCCCAGTGTCAGATCTCTTCTCACGGAGAGAGGAACAGTGATCGTCCGTCTCTTTTGCCTCACCAGATCCATGCGCAGACGAGCAAACCATCTCTGGAGGCGTCTCGTGTAGTAAACCCAGCGGGGCCACTGTGTGAGCTGACGACATTGTTCCTAACAGCTTCATGATGGAAAATAGCTGTTACTTCTCTGCTCTGTCTTACGTGGCGGAGCTGGACTCTTAGAGAGTCGATTCTCGTCTGTGATAAACGAATAAAAGAGCCCTCATGGTGGTCGAGTTTAGCCACACTCCCAGATAACAATCATCTGGGCCGGGAGAATCAATCTTTTCCCAATTTGTGGTGAAGCCCAAAATTAGCAGGTGTGACATCAACACCTGAGCCTGTGCCGACATGTGAAGCGGTCTGCCCACAATCGCCTTGTTGAAAAACTGACAGGTCCAAATCGGTCTCGTTCCTCCGGTCCGTTTGGAACCAGGAAGTAACGTGAGTAAAAAACCTGTGTTTTCCTCTCCGCCGGGAACCCCTGGACGTCTGCCTTGGTCTGGTGATGACAGGACCGTCTCTAAAAACTCCTTCGAACGGAGGGGGTCGGGCTGCAAGTTGCAACATGTAACTCCTGCTATCAGCTTGGCCATCCATCTGTCTGGCAAGCAAGCTTGCAGCCACTCCGCGTAACGTTTGTGGAGTGGGCACGTGTTTCGGTGGTGCGTCATGTTTTTATGGACGTCAGCCAATCTACCGCCCCGATCGTCGTCATGCGCTGCGGAACTGTGTTCCACGTGACCCAAGGCGAGGCTTCCTCGAAAGGGCTCTGAGCGCGCCTCTGTGCCACGCTCGGGCTGCGGGTTCACATTCATGTCTATGTGGACCGGCGTGTGTTGAGGAGAGGCGTGTGAAGACTGTTGGCGCCGCGGGAGCACACGTTTGACACCACTGCGGTGAGACGCGTGTTGCTCCTGCGAGAGCGAGGTCCTTCACTGGGCTCGCTCTGCGGTCTCACATTTATGCTAACGTGAGCGGGCGAGCGCTAAGAAGCGGTGAGCGCGCCTTCATCAACTCCGTGCCGTTTGAGTGAAGGCTGCAAGCGCCGCATAAGCACGCGTTTGCTTCGGTGAGGCGCGTGCCGCGCTTGCTGAGAGCGAGGTCTCTCACCGGACCCGTCCTGCTGTCTCAAATTTATACTGATGCGAGCCGGTGAACGCTGGGGAACAGCACCGTTTGAATGAAGGCTGCTCGCGTCGCGGGAGCAAGCGTTTGACACCGCTTCGATGAGGAGTGTGCAGCTCGGGCTGAAAATGAGTTACAGCGGACCACATTCACTTACGACTGTTGTGTCATGCGAGCATCTCGTCTTGTTTTGGAGCAACGGTGATTTGAAAAACCTTTTGTAAAGGCCACCGGCTCATTTCGTGTGGAGGATGTGTGAAGGAGCCGCTGTCAGGTCATCCGAGCTGACAGACTGGCTAAAAATAGACACTTTCATCATTAAATGTTGTTTTATTCCAAAAACTCGTGTCATCTTCACACACATCCTCCGCAAACCGTCATTTTGAGTCATCTCCCCCTGAGCTCTGCGGTTTGTTGTCCTAGGGCGCCTCCTGTTGGTCATCTCAGGGAAACGCTGATCCTCCAGATGCCGAGGATGTCTGACGGGCGGAGCGGGGAGACGCTGTGCAGCCGTGGAACATCTTGAAAATGGTCCCGAACAGCGTTTCCGTTGTTGATGGGAGCCCTCCAACAAAAAAACTTTATGCAGCTCCTCCCAAGAAGAAGGTGATGTGACGGGCCAGGTGGATCTCTGGAAAACCTCGTCCTCCGGCTGCGATGCGAGACTGGCAGACAACAAAAGAGGCACACAGGTTGAGGATGACGTCAGCTGCCTTGCAGAGGGAGCGCTACATCTCCTCCAGCCTCTTGAACGTTGTACGCCAGCCGCGTAACGTGTTGTTCGCTGTGGCTGCTTGGAACGCACACTGGTGAGCTTGGTTGGAGAGCGACGTCACCGTCTGGTTATGCTTACCCAGAGGCGCAGGACGCTGGTCCAATCTGGACATCTTTGCGCCGAAAACCTCCGCCAGGCTCGGCTCCAGGGGGGCATCGAGGGAATTTCCGCTCGGTGAAACCCCTCCACTCTGGTGATGGGCGCGAATGTGGGAACCGGCGCCCTTATTCTACCAGGAACCGGCTGCGGCCTCGTCCCAGTAGGATGTCACTGCTGGGAAACGAGGCCAGATGGGATCAGGACGGCGAGCCAGAATGGAGCCCAGAAACCTTCCCGCTAGATCATCCGATCTGGGCGGGGGAAGGAGAGGGATGGAAAAAGTCCCTTCATGTCAGCCGCCTCCTGGATTATGCCGGGCAGCTCCAAAGGAGGGCACCGACGGCTGTGAGTGGTGTGGTCGCCGATGCGAAACAAGGTCCGGGGTTGGGGGTGGGGGATTTGCTCAGCCCCCCTCGTTCCGACACTACGCTCTCCAGGAGGGAATGAGCAGCGGGGGCTGCTGCTGACTTCGCCTGTCCCGGAGGAACCATCCGATTCACTCCAAGAGTTGGCGATAAAAGGATAATTACAAGATGGCATCGTCCAGCGTGTAGCGACCTGCCACTGAGAAATTCTCCTCAGCGCTTACCTTGAAACAAGATTGCTCGTCTGCTTCTCCTCGGGGAGGAAAACTCACCAGGACGACAGGAGGTTGACGTGGTGGGGCCACAGGCAGTCTTAACAAAGGTTGGTCAAACTAGACAACTTTCCTTCTTTGTTCTTCTGACAGTGCTATTAGCTTGCTGAAGAAAAATGGGAGCCGATTACCCGCTCTTAACATAATTTATACGGACCGGGAGAAGTCCAACAACAGAACTTCGCTTGGGTTCAGAGAGGCCATTTCTCCCAATCATGCCTCTCCAGGTCACACTGTCATTACCCATGTTGGCATTGAAGCTCCCCAGCAGAATACAGGAGTCTCCACTTGGTGCACCTTCCAGCAGCCCTGCCAAGTACTCCAAGAAGGCCGGATACTCTGAACTGCCATTTGGCACGTATGCACAAACAACAGGCAAAGCCTGCCCCCCCACCCAAAAGCATAGGGAATCTACTCTTTCATCTACTAGGAAAAACTCCCAACACACGGGCACCAAGTCAAGGGGCTAAGAGTATTTCCTTACCAGCTCGGCACCTCTCATCATGGGCAACTCCAGAGTGAAATAAGGTCCAGCCCGTCTCAAGGACATCGGTTCTATAGCCCATGCTGTGCGTGGAGGTGAGCCCAACTATATCTAGTCAGTACCTCTCAACCTCACGCACAAGCTCAGGCTCCTTTCCCACCAGAGAGGTCACGTTCCATGTCCCAAGAGCCAGCTTTGGTAAACCCTGGTCAGAGCGCCAATGTTCCCACCTTAGGCCACTGCCCATGGAGATGATTTCAAATTTTTATTTCTTTTCATCTTGATGATTATAACTGACAACTAATGAAAACCCCAAATTCAATATCTCAGAAAATTAGAATATTGTGAAAAGGTTCAATATTGAAGACACCTGGTGCCACACTCTAATCAGCTAATTAATTCAAAACACATCCAAAGACCTTTAAAAGTTCTCTCAGTCTAGTTCTGTAGGCGACACAATCATGGGGAAGACTGCTGACTTGACAGTTGTCCAAAAGATGACCATTGACACCTTGCACAAGGAGGGCAAGACACAAAAGGTCATTGCTAAAGAGTCTGGCTGTTCACAGAGCTGTGTCCAAGCACATTAATAGAGAGGCGAAGGGAAGGAAAAGATGTGGTATAAAAACGTGTACAAGCAATAGGGGTTACCCCATGCTGGAGGAGAATGTGAAACAAAACCCATTCCAAAATCTGTAGGAGATTCATAAAGAGTGGATTGTAGCTGGAGTTGGTGCTTCAAGAACCACCACGCATAGACGTATGCAAGACATGGGTTTCAGCTGCCGCATTTCTTGTGTCAAGCCACTTTTGAACAAGAGACAGCGTCAGAAGCATCTCACCTTGGCTAAAGACAAAAAGGACTGGTGTAGCGGCTAAAATCCTATATTTTAAGCTACTGGTTGCGGTTGTTCCTGGTAGGCTTTGGTTTTACGTGTGCTCAATCAAGATTCACTATGCAGATCTTCATTTTGACTTAGAAATCATAGTTGTTTATTTTCCTCACAATGTCCATTTACTTTACCATTTCCATTTAGAAACAAATAAATCTTCATTGATGCTAAACTAAGCACAATAGAAAACTGTTTGCCCCTTCTCATTAGCAACACCTGAACAGAATCACACCTGCCCTTAAGTAACCACCTTCCTCTTCTGACATATTCAGTACACAAAATGAAATACACCCCCTAGTGGAGATAAACACAGAAAAACAAGATAAATGGCTCCTACAGACTGGACTGCTGCGGAGTGGACCAAAGTTATGTTCTTTGATGAATGTAAATTTTGAATTTCCTTTGGAAATCAAAGTCCCATAGTCTGGAGGAAGAGAGGACAGGCACAGAATCCACGTTGCTTGAGGTCCAGTGTCAAGTTTCCACATTCAGTGATGGTTCGGGGTGCCATGTCATCTGCTGATGTTGGTCCACTGTGTTTTCTGAGGTCCAAGGTCAATGCAGCCATCTACCAGGAAGTTTTAAAGCACTTCATGCTTATTGCTGGTGACCAACTTTATGGAGATGCAGATTTCATTTTCCATCAGGACTTGGCACCTGCACACAGTGCCAAAGTTACCAGTGCCTGGTTTAAGGACCATGGTATCCCTGTTCTTAATTGGCCAGTAAACTCGCCTGACATTAAACCCATAGAAAATCTATGGGGTATTGTGAAGAGGAACATGCGACACGCCAGACCCAACAATTCAGAAGAGCTGAGGGCCACTATCAGAGCAACCTGGGCTCTCATAACACCTGAACAGTGCTACAGACTGATGGACTTCATGCCATGCGGCATTGCTGCAGTAATCCAGGCAAAAGGAGCCCCAACTAAACATTGAGTGCTGTACATGCCAATACTTTTCATGTTCATACTTTTCAGTTGGCCAACATTCTTAATTTTTTGAAGAGGATTGAAGAGAATTTATTGTTGAGTTATTTTACATATCAGTTAAATAAACTTACCATGCTCTATTCAGGAAAATACTCTACACAGTATTGCTCCCTGCTTCGGCTGTGCTAAAAGTGAAACTTAAAGTGAACGGCCAAGACATGAAAGTAGTCCTCATACGGCCTCTGCTGGATACATTGTGCAATTATGTCTGGTTCCAACATTTTAGGGGTGAAAAACAGAAGTGTTTACATCGGTGAAAACCTAAAATATCGGCACTACAGATACATCGGTTGGGTTCTACGTAAAATGCCATCTATTGATTTTTACAGCACATGAAACATGAACTAGAATGTGTTTGGCGTTAGTATGACATCGATATAACTTTCGTATGTACGTAAACATGCTGAGTTCCAACTGTACCTTCTTTCAGGACCTGGTGGTGACTGCTGCCTTCGCTTTCCTGTGGCTTGTATCCTCCTCAGCCTGGGGCAAAGGTCTGACCGATGTAAAATGGGCCACTAACCCCAAACATTTAGTGGAGTCGTGCCAGTACTGTAAACCAGGAGAGTTTCCTCCTATGGGACGCCTAAATGCCTCTGTGGTAAGTTTTGTTGATGTGCACCCTGCTTCCGTAAAGCAGTCTGCTGGCTCATTAAGATTTCATTTGATATTTGATATATATTTAATTTTTATTATTGTGATTGAATTAGGATTTAAGTCATCTTCAAAATATTTATAGCTTTCAACAAAAGATCAATTTGCAATCCTTATTCCAAAAAAAGTTAGTTACACAACAGGTTGCACGCCCGCCTGTTGTGTGTCTCTGCTCTGCTATGACAGCCTCAGAAAGCAAAAGGGGGGGGGGTGGGGTCTGTCTTTCCCCATCACCAATTGTGTGTTGTGTACAATCTTATGTTGAAAACTCGCAAAAGAGTGAGTCTGCATAAGTCCAACTGTTAAGTATCGAGGGACTACTGTCTAATATAAATATGGTATATTAAGCAGCCTGAACATGAGTTTGTTGTGAGCAGTTGGGTATGAATATAGCAGCTTAAGGAAATCATCAGCATGGATAATTAGCACAGATAAAGTGTCAGATCTCCAATTAAAGTGGCATTACAGTGATTTTCATGGTTAGGGATTTATGAGTCTAATGGCTTCAGGGTAGAAGTTGTTCCTCAGTCTAGTGGTTCTTCACTTAATGTTCCACAACCTCCTGTCTGAGAGGAGCGGGGGGAAAAAAATGTGTGTGCTGGGTGAGTGGGGTCTTTCATGATGCAGGTGGCCCTCTTCCTGCATCTGGAGGTGTAGATGTCTGTGATGGTGGGGAGGCTGACTCCCAACAGTCTTCTGTGCAGCCTTTACCACTCTCTGCAGAGCTTTTCTCTTTCCAGCAGATCAGCTCCTATGCCACACATTGATACTGGACCACTGCACACCTGTAGAAGGAGGTGAGGACTGAGCTTCCCAGTCCAGCTCGCCTCAGCTGCCTGAGGAAGTAGTCTCTGATGAGCTTTCTTGATCAGACTGGTAGTGTTGTTGCCCCAGATGAGGTTGTCATTCAGGTGCACACCCTAGTAGACCACTTCCACCATAGATCCCCCTTTGTGCAGAAGTGGGTAGATGTGTTTGCACCTTCTGAAATCAACAATCATGAAACATTTAATTAATGTGATGAAATCTTTGCTCACAGGACAAAGATGAAAATCAGTAGTGGACATCTGATTTTTGGGCTTTTAAGGGATGTTGAATTTAAAACAGCTGAAAGAGCCTAATGAAACATTTTGAAAAAGATCTCATAATTACCGTGACCTAGGGCTGGACAATAATTCAATATCAATAGGGGTGCAGAAAAGAATTGATTCATTAAATAATCTAGATTCTTAGTCCTGGCGATTATGTATTCATTCTAAAGGCCCATAAATCGATTTTAAAAATATGTTTTAAGTTTTATATTTTTCTGCTCCTACTCCCGAGCATACTGCATATCACATTACGTGTCCACTCGGCTGCCCTTAGAATCTGGCCATGTAGGCCACTGTATAGCAAGCTAGTTAGCTAGTTGCACAGGCTTTGAAATTTTGTTTAAAGATTTACCAACTATCAATCAATATGGTTAAGACTGTGAAGTCTGTATATTTCATATTAGGTTAAGTTTTGAAAATAAAGCAAATGGTAGTGCAATATAGTAAAAAAAAAAAAACTGAAGTCTGTATTTTATTTTGAGTTAAAGGTTAATGCACTATGGTAGGCTGAAGTCTTTGTTTACTTTTCTATTTATATATTTGAATTATTTGTCTGTGATGGACTTGCAACCTGTCCAGAGTGTCCCCCGCCTCACTCACAGTGATGGCTGGATATGGGCACCAGTGACCCCGTGACCCATAAAGGAAGAAGTGGGTAAAGATGATGGATGGATGGATGGATGGATGGATTGATGGATTGATTCATGGATGGAAGGAAGGATGGATGGATTCATGGAAGGATGGATTGATGGAAGGATGGATTGATTGATGGATTGATTGATGGATGATCGATCAATCGATCCCTAGATTTTTATTTTAGAAAAAGCTAGGCAGCATTATTACTATTGCTGCTAATTTAAGTTACAGAATTTTATGCACTCCTACATTTGTTCCTATTTTTGGTATAAATATAAAATGATGCAAAAACATTAGATACAATAAGGAACCTAAAATTGTTGTTTTAAACAAATGTTCTATTTGTTTAATCTTTTCATCTTGTCAGTTACATAATTGAAACAAAATTTATGGCCATTTCAATAGAAAAATCGTTTCTGAATCGAAAATAATTTCTGAATCAAAAAATCGATTTTGAATCGAATTGTGACTCCAAAAATTGGAATCGAATCGCCAGACACTGAGAGATTTGCACCCCTAGTCATGATATGCTTTTGTTCAATAACGGTGATATTAGTTTTAAGCACATTTTTGATATTTTGATATGACTACAGCATTTCACTGACTCATTTTTTTTTTCTGTTCGGGTTGAAGCGGCCACTTCAGTGTCAACCCAAACAGAAAAAGCCGCGACACAACTACATAAGTGCGTGGTGACATAGATATTACGCAGAAGGAGTTAGCAGTAGCAGGCTAAGCTAATCTAGAACACATGGTAAGTTTTCGCTTCAAAATGAGTGCCCATGACCGTCAGAATGTGACTGAATAAGCTTTCACAAGCAAAGAGAAAGCAGATGGCATAATTGATAAGAGAGAAAAGAGTAATTTGGCGGTTTGGAAGTGGTTTGGCTATCTAAGATGTGATAAACTGCAGGTTTAGGTTTCATGTGCTACAAAATGTGCCCGAGAGTCTTTCCAACTAGCAGTGGGAAAACTTGTTTCACCATCTAAAGAGTTTCCACTTGATAGAATATGCTGAGAGTCAGAAGATGAAACTCAATAAAAGTTTGAACCAACGTGTCCCTGAAACAATACCCCCAGCTGTATCAAAAGAGAAACATGCAGCAAACGCAGACGGTTTGCTGCATGGGTTAGGTTATGTTGTTGTTTAAAGTTAAAACTATTAATATTGACGAAGTTGAGAGTTTTATGTTTATTGGACGGTGATTTCAAATTTCTTTGAAGGCTAAATACAAATAAAAGGTGAACATTAATTTATTTGTAGTTTATACATTTTTTCTGAGGCTTTTATATTGTTTATATGATATCGGAATTATATCGTTATCGACCGAAATTAAGAAATATATTGTGATAAAAGTTTTGGCCATATCGTCCAACCTTGGTTGTCAACATGCACTAACGGTCTCAAGGAGCTGGGGGGGGTATTTTAATGTGTTAAAATTTGGTCTATTTGCTGTCACTTGCTAACTTGTTTCTGTATCTTTCTGTAGATTTTTGGTTTCTTGAACTTGATCCTGTGGGCAGGGAACTGTTGGTTCATCTACAAGGAGACACCGTTCCACAAAGAGCCCATCCAAGCAGCCACCTCACAGGAAGGAGGAGCTCCTGGGCCTTAACCAGATTATGGCTTTAGGGCCTTAGAAGTTTCCGTTTTTCCCATACAGAAACACGTTCTGTACAATCGTCCTCATGTTAACCTGGTAAAGTGGAAACAAAAAGAATAAGTTTGTCATTAATACCCCCGTTTGCTCTGAACCCATAGCTTAAAATAATCCCTAATATTTAGGCAGCATATGCTGCCTAAAACAATAAGTGCAAATATAAACTTAAATGCTTTCACACTTTATATAACTTGAACTTTGGATCTTTATTGCTGTGATGTAAAGATTCATTTATGTTTTTCAGTAGACCTTTTTAATGACGACCCTTTAAGGCACCTGGTGATCAAATAACAAACCGGCAGCAAAACTTCACATTACCAAGTCTTTTTCTGTTTAATGAAAACGTTGCGCTTGGATGCCTCAGTAAACACTAAGACTTGTATTTTTGCGTGAACCATCTTTTGCTTAATGCAGAGACATTATTTATACCCAGTTCTTTTGTATTTTTATTAACATTAATCGGTCTGGAGCATGTTTGAAGTGTGGTGATTTGTTTCTGTATTTCCATTGAAAACAATTTGAGTGCAGCTTCTTTTTGTCTTTACTTTTGGACGTTTCCTGAATTGGTTGTACCACTGTGTACATTTAGCCTAACTGGTATAAATTGTTTCAACTTGTAAGAGACAAAAAACTTGGTTGATGAACTGATATCTTGACTTGGTGCCTCCTGCTACTATGAGTTGTACACAAATTTAATTAAATTTAAGTTTTTGTATTAATTTTCTACAGTTCTGAGACACTTTGCTTATTGTATTAACAGTTTTCAAAGATAAAGCTGCGTAAAGTAACTCAAACACAAATTAGTGTGCCTAGTTGTGACACCAGTACAGTAATATATTGTTGTGAAAACAGAAATTAGAAATCCTGTCATAAGTTTTAACTAGGCTTCATTAGAGCGTTGTGTTGATTTTTGACGAGTAATAGTCTTGTGTGTCTAGTTAGTGCAAAAGAAAACAGTTTAACTGTGTTAATAACTATAAAACACAAGAACTACACAACTGCCACATTCTGCCAGTCTCTTTATTTTTTGCTGCAATAATAAAAAGTTGTTTTTGTTTTTATGTTTTTAATTAATTTTGACCGTTCAGTGAAATTGCTTTCTTTCTGTTTGGGATTATGAGCGTAAAGTTGGTTCTAGGAAGAAATAAAAAAGCCCACTTGTTGTTGTTGTTGTTAGTTTATTTGACAGGGATAATGCACACAAACAAAACAACAAGTCTGTGATGGATGTGTTGCACAAAGAGTATATAGCTATAGCTAATTCGCAACTCTAGTCCCTGGTTAGGCATTTCTACGCCTTAAAATACATACAATTTATCAATCAAAATACAGTAAGAATATGCATGTATTCATGCCTACATATTCATGTAATCAAACTTACAACCTCCAAATTCATTTAATAAAAACTACATTAAAATATGAACAATTTAAAACTATAGGTACAATAAAAATACAAAACTTTTTTTTTACAGTCAAACTTTATTTACAGTCATATGATAAAGAAAGTAATTCAGCATATAAAATGTATGGTCTTCACCTGGTTTTATAGTTATTTAAATATAACTAGGGTGGTGAAAGCGGGGCAGTAAATGTATTACTCCTTTTTGACCTGTCATAGGTGAGGGACCAGACAAAGTGCAGCCCAAAGACCCTGATGATGAGTGAAATAAACGGACTTAATGTTCTCTTGCCCGGACGTGGGTCACCGGGGCCCCACTCTGGAGCCAGGCCTGGAGGTGGGGCACGCGGGCGAGCGCCTGGTGGCCGGGCTTTTACCCATGGAGCTCGGCCGGGCACAGCCCGAAGAGGAGACGTGGGTCCCCCTTCCCATGGGCTCACCACCTGTGGGAGGGGCCAAAGGGGTCGGGTGCAATGTGGGATGGTTGGTGGCCGAGGGCGGGGACGCTGGCGGTCTGATCCTCGGCTACAGAAGCTGGCTATTGGGACGTGGAATGTCACCTCACTGGTGGGGAAGGAGCCTGAGCTGGTGTGTGAGGCTGAGAGGTTCCGTCTAGAAATAGTCGGACTCACCTCTACGCATGGCTCGGGCTCTGGAACCAGTTTCCTTGAAAGGGGCTGGACACTCTTCCACTCTGGAGTTGCCCCTGGTGAGAGGCGCCGAGCAGGCGTGGGTGTACTTATTGCCCCCCAACTTGGTGCCTGTGTATTGGGGTTCACCCCGGTGAATAAGAGGGTGGCCTCCCTCCGCCTACTTGTGGGGGGACGGGTTCTGACTGTCGTTTGTGCTTATGCACCAAACGGCAGTTCAGATTATCCACCCTTTCTGAAGTCCTTGGAGGGGGTACTGGAAAGTGCACCTTCTGGGGACTCCCTTGTTCTGCTGGGGGACTTCAATGCTCATGTGGGCAATGACAGTGAGACCTGGAGGGGTGTGGTTGGGAGGAACGGCCCCCCTGATCTGAACCAGAGTGGTGTTCTGTTGTTGGACTTCTGTGCTCGTCATGGATTGTCAATAGCGAACACCCTGTTCAAGCATAAGGGTGTCCATATGTGCTCTTGGCACCAGGACACCCTAGGCCGCAGTTCGATGATCGACTTTGTCATTGTCTCATCTGATCTGCTGCCACATGTCTTGGACACTCGTGTGAAGAGGGGCGGAGCTGTCAACTGATCACTACCTGGTGGTGAGTTGGCTCCGATGGTGGGGGAGGATGCCGGTCAGACCTGGCAGACCCAAACGTATTGTGAGGGTTTGCTGGGAACGTCTGGCAGAGTCTCCTGTGAGACGGAGTTTCAACTCCCACCTCTGGGAGAACTTTGAACATATTCCGAGGGAGGTGGGGGACACTGAGTCTGAGTGGACCATGTTTCGTGCCTCTATTGTCGAGGCGGCTTACCAGAGCTGCGGCCGCAAGGTTGTCGGTGCCTGTCGTGGCGGCAACCCTCGAACCCGATGGTGGACACCGTCGGTGAGGGATGCTGTCAGGCTGAAGAAGGAGTCCTATCGGGCCTTTTTGGCCTGTGTGACCCTGGAAGCAGCTGATGGGTACCGGCAGTCCAAGCGACATGCGGCTCGGGTGGTTGCTGAGGCAAAAACTCGGGCATGGGAGGAGTTCCGAGAGGCCATGGAGAACTACTTCCGCACGGCTTCGAGACGATTCTGGTCCACCATCCGGCGTCTCAGGGGGGGAAAGCGGTACGCCACCAACACTGTTTATAGTGGGAGTGGTGTGCTGCTGACCTCAATTCGGGATGTTGTGGGTCGGTGGGCGGAATACTTTGAAGACCTCCTCAATCCCACCGGCACGTCTTCCACTGAGGAAGCGGAGCCTGGGGACTCTGGGTCGGGCCCTCCAATCTCTGGTGCTGAGGTCACCGAGGTGGTTAAAAAGCTCCTCGGTGGCAGGGCCCCGGGGGTGGATGAGATTCGTCCAGAGTTCCTTAAGGCTCTGGATGTTGTAGGGTTGTGTTGGCTTACGCGACTCTGCAATATTGCGTGGACATCGGGGGAAGTTCCCCTGGATTGGCAGACCGGGGTGGTGGTCCCCCTGTTCAAGAAGGGGGACCGTAGAGTGTGTTCCAACTACAGGGGAATCACGCTCTTAAGCCTCCCTGGTAAGGTCTATTCGGGGGTTCTGGAGAGGAGGGTCCATCGGATAGTCGAACCTCAGATTCAGGAAGAGCAGTGCGGTTTTCGTCCTGGCCGTGGAACACTGGACCAGCTCTACACTCTCAGCAGGGTCCTGGAGGGTGCGTGGGAGTTTGCCCAACCAGTCTACATGTGCTTTGTGGACTTGGAGAAGGCGTTCGACCGCGTCTCTCGGGGGGCCCTGTGGGGGGTACTCTGGGAGTATGGGGTACCGGGCCCTTTGATACGGGCTGTTAGGTCCCTGTATGACCGGTGTCAGAGCCTGGTCCGCATCGCCGGCAGTAAGTTGGGCTTGTTCCCGGTGAGAGTTGGACTCCGCCAAGGTTGCCCTTTGTCACCGATTCTGTTCATAACTTTTATGGACAGAATTTCTAGGCGCAGCCAAGGTGTTGAGGGGATCCGTTTTGGTGGCCTTAGGATTGCTTCTCTGCTTTTTGCAGATGATGTGGTCTTATTGGCTTCATCAGATCGTGATCTACAGCTTTCGCTGGAGCGGTTCGCTGCCGAATGCGACACGGCCGGGATGAAGATCAGTTCCTCCAAATCCGAGGCCATGGTCTTGAGCCGGAAAAGGGTAGAGTGCCCTCTCCGGGTCAGGGAGGAGGTCCTACCCCAAGTGGAGGAGTTCAAGTATCTTGGGGTCTTGTTCACAAATGAGGGAAAAATGGAGTGTGAGATCGATAGGCGGATAGGTGCAGCGTCTGCAGTGAAGCAGGAGTTGTACAAGTCTGTCGTGGTGAAGAGAGAGCTGAGTCAAAAGGCGAAGCTCTCAATTTACCGATCGATCTACGTTCCCTCCCTCATCTATGGTCACGAGCTTTGGGTTGTGACCGAAAGAATGAGATCTCGGATACAAGCGGCCGAAATGAGTTTTCTCCGCAGGGTGTCTGGGCTCTCCCTTAGAGATAGGGTGAGAAGCTCGATCATCCGGGAGGGACTCAGAGTAGAGCCGCTGCTTCTCCACGTCGAGAGGAGCCAGTTGAGCCCCCCCCCCCCCCCCCGAGAATCTCTGGAGCAGGTGACGACGGTAGGGGCTTTAGCCTGGTTGATGTCCATGAGAAACATGACACACAAAAATGCGCGCCCGCTCTCCGAGCGTTACTCAGTGATACTTGGACGGATGGATGGACCGTGTCATCAACGGGTTACACGCTGCAGTTCGCAACTCAAACCCCACCGTTCAGAGGGATTATAGAGACTGTTCTGTCATCTCCAGAGCAGAGCTCGTTTCTCCAGTCAGAAGTTCAGGAATTTCTGATGAAAAATGTGATTTCCAGAGTTCCCAACAGAGAGGAAAATACTGTTTTTTTTTCTTCCCACTACTTCCTGGTTTTGAAAAAAAATGGAGGGATGAGACCCATTCTTGACCTGTTCATGTTTAACAATTCGATCATGGAGAGACGATTCCACATGCTGACAATCAAACAGCTGCTGGAGAACTTCACCAGAACGACTGGTTCTCCTCCATAGATCAGAAGGGCGCATATTTTCAAATTTCCTCTGTAGTGAACTAGGCCTCAGGTCGAATCTGGCCTTGAGGGGCCTTCCTGGAACAAGAACTGTATTTCATTGATTTGAGTCCAGAAACACAAAATCAAGTCCATCCAGAAGACTTTTTAAGTGTCCTGCACTGATCAATTGAAAGAACACTCTCTTTTCTATTATCATTACTATTTTACAAATGTTTTGATAATCAAATTGTGTTTAGTTCAAACCATTTCCAAATGTTGAAGTGAACTAATCATTTTTAATCAACTGTGAAACAGTAATAATGACTTTAATCCTCATTCAAAGTAGAAATCAGGTTAATGATGCATTGTCTGATTTTCTGTCTTCAATGAGCAAGTTGTGTAAG